ATATATATACACACACACACACACCACACACACACACACGCACACACACACACACCACACACACACACACACACATTTTAATTAGCTTACTTTTTACTTATTTTTTAAGCGCAGTTCTTTGTCGGCAGCCCTAGTTTTAATAAAGCTAAGTCTGAGGTATCTTTGACTCGCTTATAGGAGCTGGATGTGATCATACTTTTATATAACAATCATTAATAGCTACGAGTGCTTTTCTTTGTCTAAGTTTTATGGTTTATTTTACTTTAAAGTTACACAGCATGTTCCTTTCTTGAATTTAAAATTGTTTTTAAATTGAGTTTTCATTTTACTTTTACCTTTGCGTTTCTTTTGCTCTTAATCCTTTTTAACGTAATTCTTAAAGATGGTTTTAACTTTACTTTTTTTTTACTTCATTGTGCTAAGGTTTTATTGTGCGACGGAGGGGGTAATGCTGGAACAAACCCACACCAAAATAAGCTCCTCTAGCCACGCTACCCTCTCATGGGGCTTATACCAGGGGTAAAATAAACTACTTTATTTGCGTAAGGCGCCCCTGGTAATGATGGAATTTTGATACGCCACATATGTATATATATACAGTACATCCATGTGTGTGTGTGTGTGTGTGTGTGTGCGTGCGTGCGTGCGTGCGTGTGTGTGTGTGTGTGTGTGTGTGCGTGTGTGTCTGGGCGTGTTTGTAAATAAGGTATTATCAAATAAGTTGTAATGTCTCCTTCACTTCCAAGTTCACCACCCACTGTTGACAGTTTCGACTCATGTATCAGAAACGTGCCAGTAGTCATGGGGGTATTTGTTGAAACTAGTCGAAACTAATGGGGCACATTGGCAATGCTGGGAGGTGAACGTGGAAGTACGTGAACTGTATAATAATCTCAGTATATCCACACACAAAGACTTGCCTGGGTTATTATATGAACACATTATTAGAGATCGAACTGATTTATATCAAACTAAACAAGCATTTAATAGAAGTTTTCGAAATACGACATACGTGTTTTATATAACATAATGCACAGTGTATATGGATGATGTACTAGTGTTTCCTGTAGACTGCCTTTATGTGGGGAGAATCGGTCGGCATGGAATTTCATAGACATTAGGGTTCGTCAGTACACGTAGCATCTTGAACATGAGGAAATATAGCTTCTGGACAGTTGTAAGCAAGGAGAGCTCCAGACGATCC